TAATCCTCCTCAGATGCATTTCCCTTCAGGAAGCATGAAACTCAGCCAGCTGGAATCTCTCCTTCCTTGAGACCCCATTTCTCCACTCCACCACTTAACAAAGGCCCAAAGGAGTGTAAGTTCCTTGAATGACAGAACAATGCCTTGTTTTGTAAATAGTGTCTTATGTTATTATGTCTCCCAATGGCATATAGTTTAATACCTCATTCAGAGTAGGAACTTCACAAATATGCAATAAGTGAACAAATAAAACACTGTGGTACCTCCATACAATGAAATATTATTCAGTGCTAAAAAGAAATGAGTTATCAAACCATGAAAAGATATGGAGGAATCTTAAGTGCATATTGTTAAGTAAAAGAAACCAATTTGAAAAGGCTACAGACTGTATGATTCCAACTATATGACATACTGGAAAAGTCAAAACTATGGAGACAGTAAAAAAATGAGTGATTGCCAGGACCACTGGGGTGGAATTGGGGAAGGAAGGGAGGAATGAATAAGTGGAGCACAGAGGATTTTCGGGGCAATAGAACTGTTCTGATACTAAATGGTAGATACATATCATTTTACATTTGACAATTCATGGAAAGCACAACATAACAAATGAAACCTAATGGAAATGATGGTCTTTGGGGGATAACGATGTGTTAATGTAGATCCATCAGTTGTAACAAAAGTACCACCCTGTTGTGGGATTTTATAGCAGGGAAGGTGTGCATATGTGGCGGTGGTGGGAAGATTACGGAAACTCTGTTCTTTCTGCTTAATTTTGCTGTGACTCTAAAACTGCCCTAAAAAAATAAAGTTTACTTAAAAGGAAACCCCTCAAAAATACAGTTTTTAATTGAATTGAATTTTCTGCACAGCCCTCATATTTTTGAAAATATGAGTATGGCTTCCATCTTTGGGTTTTCCATAAGCCCTGCTTATGTCTACCCCTCATGGAGTTTATATTCTAGTGGTATGGGGAGCGGGGAGGCAATAAACAAATAAATAGACAATCAACAATGTCAGGTGTTAAGTGCTATGAAGAAGAATAAAGGGGGTACTGGGATAAAGAAGGCCATGGGTGATACTTTATCTACAGTCCTCTAGGAGCTCAGATTTAAGTAGACACGGGAAGAAAGCTAAGGAGGGAGACATACAGGTATGTGGGGAAAGAGCACATAACAAAGAGTACAATAGGCATGACTCAATCAATTATACTTCAGTAAAGCTGGGAAAAAAAGGAATGACTCATTCTATACAAAAGCCTTCTACGTTGCCTCAAATCCCTTCCGGAAAGAAGAAATGTGTAAATCAACCATAAATGCCTTACCTACCCAGCAAGAACAAAACGACCTAAAATGAAGATGAAATGAAAAAGTGTTTTTGGAAGTATAGAAGGCTATATAAATATACAGTAATGCTCTTTATGAGTCACTGGTTTGCACTAACAGGATCAAGTATGCATCTATATTTGAAGGTCTTATGCACAAATTAAATTGGTGCTGGCCCAAGTTCAAGAGCTAATACAAATGCCAAAAACGTATTTGGTGGTTATGGTGAGTGACTGTGTAACCTGCTTAGAACTGTATCCTAGGCCCGTAGTCCCCATGCAGACATAGCCTCTCTAGTATATCTCATAGTATACCATTTCCTGCTGCATTTGATTAGGCAAAGCTGAAATCTCCCAACCAAGATGTGACCTAAATTTCTTTCTTTACAAGGAAATCACTGGTTAGAAAATTCCTTAGCCTTGGCAATTAGTCAATCAAGTTCATTAGCACAGGTTGACATATTTCCAGGACTGGTGAAATTTTAATTGGGTAGCAAGGAGGGGAATACTCAAGTTTTAAGGCAATTCTCATTCAAAATGTTCTAACCTTCCAGCTTCTCCTACATTTTCCTTAAATCTAACTTAGGGCGATAATCGAGACCATACACACACGAATTCAGTCTGGATGTGGCATTTTGGAGGAAAACCCCAGCTGAGTACACACGAGTGTGCTTCAGCTTTGCCAGAAGAAAAATAGTTATGCATTATACATGGACTCTACAGACATTTTTTGTAAGCCTTACTTTAAAATGTTTGAATTTTCAAACTTAAAATGTTCCATGTGTTTAGTATTTCTTGTTTCATTAGACTAAAGAGAAGTGGTTGAAAATTCAGTCTCAGCAAACATGCGGTATATTCCAAGAATGTTTCATATATTATGATTTCTGTAGCTATAGAGTTTGTAAACATGGCTTTTACACTCATTACTGGTGGTAGTTAAAAGATCATTTATTCAATAAACACTTATTGAGTACCTACTGTATGCCAGGCCCTATTCTAGGCATAGGAGATACAGCAGCAAATAAAGTTCATATATTTAAGGAAGCAGGCCATAAATGAATTTATAAATAAATACAATGCCAAGTAGTGAAGCAATTGTTCTTCCTGTTGTATTTAGGGAAAGGGAATGTGGGAGGGACCGCTATTTTAGAAAGAAAGCCTCTCCCTTGAAGTCTTATTTGAATAAAGATCTTACTGAGCCTTCTGCTGATTTGGGGAAGAACTGCCCCACGCAGACAGACTGGGCCAGGCTCTATTGTCGGGAGTGCCTGGAACAGCCTGAAGGCCAGTGTGGCTGGAGCAGAGTGAGAGGCGAGCAAAAGAGTAGGAAATGAGATCTTACGTGAAACCCCCACGTCATAGGGTTCCTGCACACCCAAAGTGGAATGACTACTGAGTCCACAGTCTGGCTTCATTTTCTGGATGTTCAAGTGATGACAAGGAATTGCAAGGAAAGCCTGCTATCAAACAACAATCTCCTCATTAGGTTTCACATGAACACATACAAAAATGGACATTCTCTGTTTTCCCTCTCAGGACCATTTACCTTTGCATTTCAACAGCTTGAAATACTCTTCTTTACTCCTCTTCCTATCAAATTCCCCCAAGTTTAATTTAAGCTCTGCCCCCTGTGAGAATCTTCTCTTAACTCCTCCAGCTGACGCTGAGTCAATCTTCTTTGTGACTTCTTTGTGACTAGGGGGTCTTAACCTAGGACTTCCCCGGCATCGATAGATTATTTACAGGAACGCTGAAACTGCATATGAAAAATTTAGTGTATCATTCAATATGTTTTTCCAAGGGTGTTCATAAATCCCATGAGATTTTCAAATGAGTTTGTCGCTTTAAAAGGTAGAGAACCACCAAGCATTCATGGAAGGTGCTTCTCAAACATTAAATCTGCATGGAAACTATCCACATTTCATTAGACTGAAGATTCCAATTCGGTAGCCCTGGAGTGAGGCTTGGTGCTGCTGGTCCTGGGACCGCACGTGGTAGCAAGAGACTAGAATGTGGTCAGCATTCGCTTGTGTACACGGGCAAGCTGCTCTCTGCACTTAGGTAGATCACAGGTTTCTGGACAGCAAGGGCACCGCCAATACTACTTGGCTTTTCTCCCAAGTAGGGACTAATAGAAAAACAGTCCACTGTTGGGCCTCACAGGTGTTCTACAGATAGCAGTCTCAACTAGGCTTCTAAGGTTACCACCAAATGTTTAAGGCTAAACCTTCCCAAAATTCACAGCAGAATCTCAAAACGCCTAAAATCTTTCTGAAGCGAAGTTTTTCCTCTCTTCCAGTAGTAGAGTCCCATAACATATTGAAACTTAAATCCACCAACTCTACAAGCTATTATAGTTAGCACGGGAAATGCACTCATTTAGAATAATAATTCACTCTATGAGGGCATCATTTACTCACTAAAAATGTTCAATACAAAGAAATAACATAAGGCACAGGGTGTGGTGGCTCATGCCTGTAATCCCAGCACTTTCGGAGGCTGAGGCAGAAGGATCACTTAAGGCCAGGAGTTTGAGACCCTGGGGAAAAAAAAAAAAGGAAAGGAAAGGAAAGGAAGGGGAGGGGAGGGGAACAGAGGGGAGGCAGGGGTGGAAGGGGAGGGGAGGGGAAGGGTGAGGAGGGGAGGGGAAGGGTGGGGAGGGAAGGCAGCAACGGAACCAAGATAAATCAAACCACCAGGCCCTTGAATGAGCAGGTCCTGGATAACTGTTCAGAGTCCAGCAGTGAAGTCTCATTTAAAAACGGCAGAGGGAGAGAAAGCCTCTAAAAGGCAAGGGATAATGCAGAAAAGTAAAAATAGGTTTTAGAATAAAACTGCCACTTCAGACAACCTGCCACTCTATATTTGCACAAACTGTAAAGAACTTATTTGGCCATGTAGAAATAAAGTACTTTTAACAGCAGCTAACAATAGATCACATAAAAAAAATTACATACAAGACATGTGTCAGGAATGTCTTTATGTGTTCAAATGGAATTTTTCATGTGGTATTTTATACATATATATATGCACACATTATTTGGGCTTATAAAATACCATATGTAATGAAAACTATGCATAAATATTTATAAAAATACCTTTTTCTAAGTAGGCCAGCAACATTTAATATTTTTCAATAAATTAATATATAAAATATATACATTAGTGCCAAATGGAACATATATTTTGAAATATGAAACCCAAGTAAAATGCTCAGGAATCTGGAGTAGAATCCAGGTATCTGCCAAAGGAAACTTTGGACGAGTTGTCTTTTGAAGAAGGGAAACAATGCTGGGTCTCTTATCTTCATGGACTGTTTTGCTTGTCAAACTTCTAACATCACTTCAGCCGAGTTTCTTATTTGACTTCCAACCTCATGGCCATTTGACCTGCCAACTATTATTTTTCTTTGAAGCTTTTAACATCCCACCCAAGTATTTTGCTTTCCAGATTGTGTCCGTTTCCTTTTCACTTCACCTTAAAGTCAGCCTGGGTTTACAACATCGGCTTAAGGTGCACCCTCTAGGGTTTCAGACAGACCTAGAGGACCGCGGTGATGACTGAAGCTAGATACCTCTCGGCAAAGCCAAGGTGCCCGGAAGGTTCTCCGCGTTGTGCCGGGATTTCCATCCAACCTGACAGTCTCAGGGCAGAGACCAGGCCCCGAGCGTCCGACTCCCCGGGGTCCCAGCCCCCTCCCCAGGCTAATCATGCGGGCTGGGACCTCCTAGCCGGAAAAAACCGCCCTTTCCTGTCGCCTACTCCTTCCCCAGGCCGATGACTCGTGGAGGAGGAAAAGACGGAGGCCGATTAAGAAAATTAGCATTCATTAACCCGGTTCACGCTCGTGCCCCGGCGGAGGGGAGGGGTGCGACAGGCGGCGGCGCTGGCTGTGGCCGGCTGACCGGCGGGCGCAGGTGCCACCACGGGCGGAATTTTACGCTCCCAGGCCGGCAGCTGCGCCACTTGCGCCTCGTCGCGCGTCTGGGGCAGCCGCCACCAGCTTGCTTCAGCTTTAGGCAAATCCTTTTGAAAGACCCTGAGGGAGAGGAAACGCCTCCCTCTGGACAGGAGAACCTGTAGCGTCTGCTGTTCGTCGCTTGTCCAGTTGCTCAGCCCGGAGCTCCGGCATCTCCAGGGCGCGAAGTCCACGCTCCGGGTTTTGGCTGCAGCTCCAAGGGGAGCGAGCTGGAAACTGACAGAACGCGACCCTCCCCCTCCGCGCCCACCAGAGCACTGGCTGCGAGGGGCCTGGGGAGCTGCGGCCTGAACGGGGAGGCGCGCTCAGGTGGCCTCGCTTCCCTGCCGATCACCGCCCGCCACGCCGGAACTTTGCACAGCTAGGTCGGCCTGTTGGGATCGGGAGAGGTGGGCGCACGAGGTTTAGTGCGGGAGTCCGGGGCGCGGGCGGAGTCCTATTGTCCCCGTGCACCCGGGCGGCAGCACCTCCGGGTCCCTCTTTAAAACGAGCGTCCGGCGACCTTTCTTTGTGCTTAGG